CATGATGGTCCTGCCAGCCCCCAGTGCTCAGGCACCATGATCCTGGCCTTGCAATCCTGAGACTTAAAGATGCACTGTGGGGCGGGGAGGGGCTGGAGGTATTCATTTGCCTTCAGGCGTTAGGAGGAAGTGCCCACCCCCAAAGTGTGTGTGAGCATTGCAAGGTCACAGTGCACCTGAGCTAGCCAGGCAAAACTGTGGGTTGCCCAATGGCTGCTTGGTGGGGGCTCCCTTTCCCCTCCGCTAACACAGCAGCCATTCCAGCACCCTCCAGCCCGCTCCCCATCACTGTCCTGGCTCCCTATCCTCCCTGCCCAGCCGCTCTGCCTCATAATTCACATCCCCTCAAGGGCTCTTAAAGGCTCCTGTCTCCAGACCCCCTCCCACCTTGACCAGCCCCCATCTTTCACTCCCTTCTCCTTTACCCTACCTCCTCCTTTTCCCTCTGTCACCCCATTTCTCTGCACTCCCCACAGTCTCCTCATGCTTCTCTTCAGTCTGCCTCATATGTCCCACAGAGTTTGCTTTCTGCCCCCACATTTCCCTACACACCCCAAAGCCTGCCTCCCACACCCCATATTCCTCTGCAGCCTCCAAAATCTGCCTCCCACACCCCCTGCACCCAACAAAGTCTGTCTCCTGCAACTCACATTCCCCTGCTCCCACTCAGTCTCCCTGCCCTTCTGCACCCACATCTTCCTGCACCCCAAACCCTGCCACCTGCCCCCACAAATGCCTGCACCCCAAACCCTGCCTCCCACCCCCACATCCCCTGCCCCCCAAACCCTGCCTCCGACCCCCCACATCTCCCTGTAACCCTGCCTTCCACCCACACATCTCTCTGCCTCCCACCCCCACATCTCCCTGCAACCCTGCCTTCCACCCACACATCTCTCTGCCTCCCACCCCCACATCTCCCTGCACCCCAAACCCTGCCTCTGACCTCCCATATCTCCCTGCAACCCTGCCTTCCACCCCCACATCTCCCTGCACCCCAAACCCTGCCTCCGACCCCCCCGAATCTCCCTGCAACCCTGCCTTCCACCCACACATCTCCCTGCACCCGAAACCTGTCTCCCAACCCCACATCTCCCTGATTCCTCCTCAGTGTACTATTCCCTTCTTCAATTCATATTCCTCTGCACTCCCACAGCCTTCTTCCACACCCCACATTGCCTTAGAGCCCCCAAAGTCTGCTTCCTGCATCCCACAGTCCCCTGCACCGCCAAAGTCTCCCTCCAGCCCCCTCCCAATTGAAGAGGTAGACATTCTTGCCTTGTTCTGTGTGTGGCTGCCCAGGCATGGCCTCACTGGATGGCAAAGCCTCTGGGAAGATGGGGCTGCGGGCCGTAGTCTACTACATGGTGACCACCATCATAGCAGTCTTCATCGGCATCCTCATGGTGATCATCATCCATCCAGGCAAAGGGTCCAAGGACAAACTGCACCGGGAGGGCAAGATTGAGCAGGTGCAAACAACTGATGCCTTCATGGACCTGGTCAGGTGAGTGAACAAGTTGGTGTGCGGTAAGAACATGCCCCTGTGATAAGCTCACCATCCTGCACTGAAAGCCATTCAAACTCCTGCACTTGGAGAACATGCTCTGAATAAGCTCTGAAAGGAGACCGAGGCGCTGTTTTTCAGAGTTCCCTGAGGGTGCTCGACCTCCCCTGCTCCACACCAAGCCCTGCCCTCACTCCACCCCATCCCCCAAGGCCCCACCCCTGACCCACCTCTTCCCGTCCCATTCCGCCTCCCGCCCTGCCTCTTCTCACCCCATTCTGCCTCTCCCCCTGCCTCTTTCTGCTCCGCTCCTCCCCTTCCCCCCCAGCGCCTCCTGCACGCTGCTGAACAGCTGATCACCAGTGGATAACATAAATCTGAGCAACAATATACTCACACCATCCGTTGCAGAAAAACCTGAAGTGTTAGTCCTTGTCCTCCTCATCATACTCACCATCACCATCATCACCAGTGGCCATCGTCCTGGTATCTCCCAAGGCAGGCAGGCTGGGATACAACTTTTATAATGGGTTATGCTGATGCCCCTATGCCTAATACATGTTCAGTAGGGGTTTCAGCCCCTTTTCTTATCTGTATTTCCTCACCTAGTAATGCTGAGGTGCCCTTCTCCCATAAGTTAATAGTCCTTTTACCTCAAGTTCATTAGCATATACATCAATTAGTTACCATGACCTTCCGGTGGTCAGACATCTGCTGATGTTCCTAACTTAAAAATATCTAAAACTGATATCAACAGGCATCGTGTGGTCATCTATCAGCAGTTGGGTCATTACAGCATTCTATGGTGTGATATCTCATGATCTAGGGTTACTGCTGGTTAGCTATCAGAGGGGTAGCCGTGTTAGTCTGGATCTGTAAAAAGCAACAGAGGGTCCTGTGGCACATTTAAGACTAACAGATGTATTGGAGCATAAGGTTTCATGGGTGAATATCCACTTTGTCAGACGCATGCTGGTTAACTGTTTATGTTAAGGCTTTTGGGGCCTTATCTCTTGATTAGTTTAGCTAAGCTATTGTCTTATAGGCCTTGAGGCTTGTAGGGTCATTGGATTACTGCCTAAATTTATGCCTATGCCTTACCTAAGCTTTGTCTACACTGGCAAGTGAAAGACAAACTTTTGTCGTCCAGAGGTGTTAAAAAGCATCCTCCCAAAAGACAAAAGTTTGGTTAACCGCTCCTTGGGGGTGGAAGTTTTTTGTCGGCAGAAGAGAACAGCGGCAACACTGCACGCCTTTTAGCAGCACGGCTGTAGCGGCACAGCTGTGTCGCTAAAAGCTGTGTCGTGTAGACATAGCCTTAGCAAATACTTATACCTATAGGCTACAGCTCACATACAGTAAGAACATAAGAACGGCCATACTGAGTCAGACCAATGGTCCATCTAGCCCAGACTTCTGTCTTCCAGCAGTGGCTGGTGCCAGATGCTTCAGAGGGAATGAACAGAACAGGGCAATTTATCAAGTGATCCATCCCCTGTTGTCCAGTCCCAGCTTCTGGAGTCAGGTATATGGGGGCACCCAGAGCATGGGTTTGCATCCTTGGCCATCTTAACTAACAGCCATTAATGGACCTATCCTCATGAATTCCTTTTTGAACCAAGTATCAGAGGGGTAGCCGTGTTAGTCTGGATCTGTAAAAAGCAACAGAGAGTCCTGTGGCACCTTTAAGGCTAACAGATGTATTGGAGCATAAGCTTTCGTGGGTGAATACCCACATGCGTCTGACGAAGTGGGTATTCACCCACGAAAGCTTACTCTCCAATACATCTGTTAGTCTTAAAGGTGCCACAGGACTCTCTGTTGCTTTTTTGAAACAAGTTATACATTTAACCTTCACAACATCCCCTGACAATGAGTCCCACAGATTGTCTGTTGTGTTATTTTATAGACCTCTATCATATCCCCCGTTAGTTGTTTCTTTTCCAAGCTGAACAATTCAAGTCTTTTTAATCTGTTTAAACCATTCCATTCCCCCAATCATTTTTGTTGCTCTTCTCTGAACTTTTTCCAATTCTAATATATCTTATTTGAGATGGGGCCACCAGGACTGCATGCAATATTCAAGGTGCGAGCATACCATGGATTTATATAGTGGCATTGTGATATTTTCTGTCTTATCCTCTCTCTCTTTCTTAATGGTTCCTAATATTATGTACCTTGAGCAGATGTGTTCAGAGAACTATCCACAGTGACTCCAAGATCTCTTTCTTGAGCGGTAACAGCTAATTTAGACCCCATAGTTTTGTATATAATAGTTCCTAACATTCTGTTAGATATTTTGACTACCAGTGCACACTGAGCAGATGTTTTCAGAGAACTATGCATAGTGACTCCAAGATCTCTTTCTTGTGTGGTAACAGCTAATTTAGACCCCATCATTTTATGATAGGGCTGTTGATTAATCGCAGTTAACTCACACGATTAACTAAAAAAAATTAATTGCGATTTAAAAAATTAATCGTGATTAATTGCTGTTTTAATTGCACGGTTAAAGAATAGAATACCAATTGAAATTTATTAACTATTTTTGGATGTTTTTCTACATTTTCAAATATCTTGATTTAAATTACAACACAGAATACAAAGTGTACAGTGTTCACATTATATTATAATTTTTATTACAAAGATTTGCTCAGTAAAAATGATAAACAAAAGAAATAGTATTTTTCAGTTCACCTCATACAAGTACCACACTTTATTGTGAAAGTGCAACTTACAAATGTAGATTATTTTTGTTACATAACTGCACTCAAAAACAAAACAATGTAAAACTTTAGAGCCTACAAGTCATAGAATCAGAATCATAGAATATCAGGGCTGGAAGGGACCTCAGGAGGTCATCTAGTCCAACCCCCTGCTCAAAGCAGGACCAATCCCCAACAAGTCCACTCAGTCCTACTCCTTATTCAGCCAATCACTAAGTCAAACAAGTTTGTTTACATTTACAGGAGATAATGCTGCCAGCTTCTTATTTACAATGTCACCTGAAAGTGAGAACAGGCATTCGCATGGCACTTTTGTAGCTGACATTGCAAGGTATTTACGTGCCAGATGTGCTAAACATTCGTATGCCCCTTCATGCTTCAACTACCATGCCAGAGGACATGCTTCCGTGCTGATGACGCTCGTTTAAAAAATAATGCATTAATTAAATTTTGACTGAACTCCTTGGGGGAGAATAGTATGTCTCCTGCTCTGTTTTACCCCCATTCTGCCATATATTTCATATTATAGCAGTCTTGGTTGATGACCCAGCAGATATTGTTCATTTTAAAAACACTTTCACTGCAGATTTGACAAAACGCAAAGAAGGTACCAATGTGAGATTTCTAAAGATAGTTACAGCACTCGACCCAAAGTTTAAGAATCTGAAGTGCTGTCCAAAATCTGAGAGGGATGAGGTGTAGAGCATGTTTTCAGAAGTCTTAAAAGAGCAACACTCTGATGCAGAAACTACAAAACACAAACCACCAAAAAAGAAAATCAACCTTCTGAGGTGGCATCTGACTCAGATGATGAAAATGAACATGTGTTGGTTTGCTCTGCTTTGGATTGTTATCGAGCAAAACCCGTCATCAGCATGGATACATGTCCTCTGGAATGGTAGCTGAAGCATCAAGGGACATATGAATCTTTAGCTCATCTGGCACGTAAATATCTTGCAATGCCGTCTACAACAGTGCCATGAGAAGGCCTGATCTCACTTTCAGGTGACATTGTAAACAAGAAGCAGGCAGCATTATCTCCTGCAAATGTAAACAAATTTGTTTGTCTGAGTGACTGGCTGAACAAGAAGTAGGACTGAGTGGACTTGTAGGTGCTAAAGTTTTACATTCTTTTATTTTTGAATGCAGTTATTTTTTGTACATAATTCTACATTTGTAAGTTCAACTTTCATGATAAATAGATTGCACTACAGTACAGTATTAGGTGAATTGATAAATACTATTTCTTTTGTTTTTTACACCACAAATATTTGTAATCAAAAATAAATATAAAGGGAGCACTGTACACTTTGTATTCTGTGTTGTAACTGAAATCAATATATTTGAAAATGTAGAAAACATCCACAAATATTTAAATAAATGGTATTCTATTATTGTTTAACAGTGTGATTAATCATGCAATTAATCACGATTAATTTTTTTAATCACTTGACAGCTCTATTTTATATGTATAGTTGGGATTATGTTTTCCAAAGTGCATCACTTTGCATTTATCCACATTGAATTTCATCTGCCATTTTGTTGCACGGTCACCAGTTTAGTGAGATCCCTTTGTAATGCTTTGCAATCAGCTTTGGACTTAACTATCTTGAGTAATTTTGTATTATCGGCAAACTTTGCCACCTCACTTTTTACCCCTTTTTCCAGACCATATATGAATGTGTTGAGCAGCACTAGTTCCAATACAGACCCTTGGGGGACCCTGCTATTTATTTCTCTCCACTGTGAAAAACGCACCATTTATGTCAGATTTGTGTCCATTTATTCTTTTACGTAGAGACTGTCCGGTTTGGCCAATGTCCATGGCAGAGGGGCATTGCTGGCACATGATGGCATATATCACATTGGTAGATGTGCAGGTGAACGAGCCCCTGATGGCATGGCTGATATGATTAGGTCCTATGATGATGTCACTTGAATAGATAGGTGGACAGAGTTGGCATCGGGCTTTGTTGCAAGGATAGGTTCCTCACAGATCTTGGGAGACAGACCTGTCCTCGCTTACAGACAGCCCCCAACCTGAAGCAAATACTCACCAGCAACCACACACCACTGAACAAAAACACTAACCCAGGAACCTATCCTTGCAACAAAGCCCGATGCCAACTCTGTCCACATACCTGACATCAGGAATCATAACATTCAAAAACCAGTAGGAGAACACTTCAACCTCTCTGGCCACTCAGTAACAGACCTAAAGGTGGCAATTTTGCAACAGAAAAGCTTCAAAAACAGACTTCAATGAGAAACTGC